TTTTTATAAAATTAATAATTTTAATAATAAAAAATAAAAAAAATTTAGCAAAAAATATACTTAATTGTTTTTAAATATATCATTATTAGTAATTTAATATTAAACAATAACAGTTAACTATTGTCTAACCAAACAGTTATATCTAATTAAATTCGTTATCTATTATCCGCTATTCACTTTCTACTATTCGCTATTCACTTTTTACTATCCGTCATCCAGTATCTGCTCTTCATTGAATTTTAATCGTTATACCAAAGAGATCCTATATATTAGTGGTATGATTACTAAATTATATATAAAGTAAATAGTGTAAATTAGTCTTAATTTTTTAAAAAATTAGAATTTTAATCTTAAATGTATCATTTTATTGAATTAAAATTTAATTCAAAATTTAAGAATCTATTTTATTAAATATTAACTTTTATATTTAGAAATTGAAAACTCAATTACAAAATTATATTGATACAAAAATTTACTGGTTGATTATATTAAAATATATAATTAGTTTCTAAATTTAAGTATCAACATTCAATAAAATTAGTTTATAAATTTTAAATTAGATTTTAATTAGGTAAAATAACATATTTTTTAAGTCAAAATTAATATGTATTTTTTATGTAAAATATTAATTAAAATTAATTTAATTATAATTAATGATAATAAATTAACACTTTTAATAACAAGGAATGCGCCATCAAAAAAGCAATCCCAAACATCATCTAAACTTAATTTGAAGTTTTTATTCAAAACAGCTAATATATAGAATTCATTAAGTAAAAAATCTTAATTTAAATAGTTATATTCATGGTTAGGAATTTGAATCTGTGATAAATTGAAATGATGCTGGCATTAAAGTACTTATTACGTATGGTTTAGCTTTTTTTTTTTAAAGGTTTTTTTAATTTGTTCCGAGGTGTTAGGGTATATTTATTGTATTTTATATTATAAATTTATATTAAAAAATTATAAATTAATTTTTATTTTTAATATTAATATCATATTAGAGCACTTTAATTAAATATGAAATTAAAATTTAATTTAATTTTTTTATCTAAATAAATAATAAAAATATAAAATTAGTGCTTATTAATTTTAATTTTCAAAAACAAGATTCAAGTTATAGTTATATTTAAAAACTAAATTCTTAATTTAAAATTTGAAAATTCAATTAGATTTTAAATTTAAATATTAATATTTAATAATATAAAATTTTAATTAAATTTTTATTAAATAAAACTACATAATTTAAAATTTTAATTTTAATTTTTTAAAATTGAAACTTATATAGATTTCTCCCTAAAAATATACAATAAAAATAATATTATCTACCCTCTATAACAAGCTGTTAGAAAATTTCTTTTGTTAAAAGAGATTTGATTTTATTTACTAATAAAAAGGAAAAAACTTTGAAATAGCTAATATCACCATGATCTTGGTGCCACGTGTCTATATTCCCAATACTTTCCAGACTTTAAATCACAACCATCAATCATGCATACCTAATGGAGGGCAATTTGGGGAATACGCAAGTGTGAACTAGACGCGCCGAAAAGAAAAATACAGATACAAGAAATTAACATCAAAATTTTTTTCTGGTTCTTAGGGTTAGGGTTCTTTCTTTATTTTAGCATATAATTTCACCCCCCCAAAAAAACCCAAAACAGAATAAAGCCTTTAAATGACAGAAAGGCTCTACCTTTGCAGCATTTTGGGGTTTTGAATCGGTTACTCTTGATCTCTCCGGGCTTTGGTGCCCTGTGGCTGTTGAAATCCATGATCATCAGTGTCTCATGGACCCCTCTCCAGTGCACACCACTCCTTCACTCAATGAAGAAGAAGATGAGTGGGGTATTATTTTTTTTTCCTATTTTATTTGGCTTTCTATCTGTTTTCTCCGGGAAAATCAGGAAATTGATTGAAAAGTTTCGATCTTTATTGACTCTCGTCGATTTTTAATAGATGGGTATTTTGAATTGTGCTGATAATATCTCTGTTGTTCATAATTAAATTTTTTGATCTTTTTTGACTCCTCGATTTTTAATAAGTTGGTATTTTTGATTGTGCCTCTATGTTAGTAAACTGATTGTCAATGATAATATCTCTTTTGTTGACAATTAATTTTTTTATATATATTTAAGACATGGGCTATCAGATGCATCATTGTTTCTTATATTCTTTTTACATATTTGTTTTGCATTTGATTGATGGTAAAGATGTCTGATTTGAGTGTGTGTGTGTTTTTTTAAAAGATAATGGAAGATTTTGTGTGGTGTTGGTCCACCAGGTTGAAATTTATGTTCTATTATACATGTAACTGTATGAGATGTGTAATGGATTTGTGTGATTTATGTTGAGTCTTTGTCTATATGAAAGGGTGTTTCTACCCACTAGGGGTGTCCCAATGGTTAAGTGCCAGAAAGTACAAGTTGGAGATTTGGAACCTTAGACTTAGATTGGTTTCTAATTAGATTGGTTTCTAAGTTGGGGTGCCTTTGATAAATTGGTGTTTCTTCTTATATTGGAGGTAATTGCTTTTGTTGTCATATTTTCCCAATCAAGATGCACAATTGTTCAAGAAACTATAATTTAAGTTAGGTTCGGTATAAATATATCAAGAAATCTAGTGTGAAACAGGGAACTTAGGCAATTGGACTTTTTGTATGGAAGGATAATTAAAATAAGAAGTTTCCTTAATCTCAGTGCTTTTGGCTTAAATTAGCAGGGAATGAATTTGATCTGATGATTCTTTCGAGAATTTAAAGTATATAATTTCCCTACGGGCATGCATTAGTGTCAGTTTAAACATCTCTTAATAGATATACAGAATAAGCTTGTAGACATCCACTCATTTAGAGTGCAGGAAGCCGGACTGAAAATTTTTTCGCATAAATATGGCTTCTCAACGGTCTAGATTTGTGATTTGTGTTTGGTCTTTTGCTAATCTTTTTGACAGTTCTAAATTATTTATTATGTCAGTATCTTCGATGTAAATAGGAAGATCATATGGTCCCAAGGGAAGATTGCAAATATTTGCTGGATTGAATGGTTTCTATTATTTTGTTTTTCTCTATTTTTGTTCTGCTTGGGGCAATTATTGCAAGGAGGAACATGGGGATTATGCTCCTTGGTATTGTATGTTTTGAATTCTATGATTGTTTATTAAAGATATTTCTGGATTGTGTGTATTTGGAATTATGTATTAATAATGATTTGTTATGTTTTCAGTGAGCTATTTCTGTGTGCTGTATGATTGACTTATTGTAATTTCATTAGCTTAGACATGATACTGACATCAATATGTTTTGAATTATTAATTAGACACTGATGGATTTGTGATTCCGAGCTTGGGAATAGAGGATTCCAACACAAATAGAACTGATGCTTCAGAAGTAGAAGCTTTAAAACCTCCTTCTCCAAAGGTTAGTCAGAAAATATATATACACATTGGTGCTAGGGTTAATAGGCTATTGTCTATTTTCTTAGCAGCTAAAGACTTTCTAATGATGGTAAATGTATTCCTGTTTTGCTTGTGCAGACTAAAAAGGAAGAGAACATCTATCTAGGACCACATGGGGCCCCTCCTTCGCAATCAAGGCAGCAAGAGCTGAACTTGTCCAGTCGGAAGCAACGTTTTAAGCAGAAACTGAAGGAAGCTGATAGGAGGATCAGTGGGACAGGAAGGGAGAATAAGGTGGAAAATTTGAGGGAACTTGTGGGGGGTGGACGAGTAAGTGCCAACATGCAGAAGGGTTCTCCAAGAGATTGGCTAGATCCACATTGCAATGAATCACAATTTGAAAAGTGCTATAACCCCCAATGAATGGAGCCTATTAATAGCTTAAGCTATTTATCA